GGCTAGTTCGGCCCTCAGGGCATTATAAGGTCCGTAACGCCCTTGGTACATAAATAGCTATTATAATTGCATTTCCCATCACCAAAAACTTTTTTGCGCCTTTTAGAAAGCGCAGAAATTATGAAATGAATTTCAAAGTTAAATTGTAACTTTTAAAGGACGTACAGAGTTGCAGCTAAACCCTGATCAGAACGCCATCGCGTACATCATGCATTATGTTGAACACAAGCGGGATGATGTAGGCGAAGGCGTTCGGATCGGGGTTTTGTTGCATGTTTGTGCAGGGACGTTGTAAAATAGTAATGTGGCTCAGCTGGAGAACGACACTTTAAAAACTAAGATTTTTGTTTCCATCTCCAACATGTATCAAAACGGATTATACACCCTTAGCCAAAAAACACGGACTTTTCTCAACACTCACAACTAAATTCCTCAAAAATATGACATCACTGCCGAGCACTTCTGAAACTCATTGTGACCGTTCTGTTACTGAATCAAACCGTATAGAGTCTACAAAAGAAAGTTCAAACAGCTCTGCATTACTGTTTGATGGAGGTTATTATAGGATTGTAAGAGAAGGAGAAGGTCATAAAAATGCCATATGGGTAGCATGTCTGCTTTGCGTTCCAAATACGAGCCCAGAATCATATCATTTGGCCCAGTCAACATTTTATTATTTACTTTATCTTGGAAGACATTGGTAAACACAAAAGAAAAAATTACTAAATCCAACTATTATTATTGTAATTTAAGACATTTTCGTCAATATTTTTTACTAAGATTAATATTTGAAAACTAGAAATATGACACTATATTAAATAATATAACAACAAATCATTTCATTTGGCCCATAAAAACGCAAAGCTTTTTTTTTTCATCATATTACCCTTGAGTTAAACAAAACAATTGCCAATTCTTGGATGTTGTTAGTGACACATCAACAGTTAGTTGTCAATATTTAACTTAAAAAAAATGGTGCGGGGTAAACCTTTGTCTAATGACTTACGTAAAGTTATTGTTCATTTACACAATGCTGGTAATTCTTGTGGCAAAATTGCCAAGCAAGTGCTATTATCACGTTATATTGTACGAAATATCATCAAATTATATAAAACCACACGAGCAGTTCAAAAAAAGCCAAATTTGGGTAGAACTTCAAAAATAATCCCGATCAATATGAGAGCCTTACGTCGTATTTTGAAACAAAACTGTCGTGCCAATTGTGGTGAATTAAGTGTAGAATGGAATAGAGCAAAGAGTAAACGTTTCTCAAGGTTAACCTGTCTCAGAGCTATCAAACTGCTGGGATATAACTTCTACAAAGTAAAATATTTCCTAGATTTTTTTTCATACAGACTCAAGGGTGAAGAATTTTTAACTTGTAGGCTAAAGAAAAACCTTTGTTAACTCTAAGACAGAAGAAAAATAGGCTAATACGCTCCATAAGTGGTGACGTCACAAATTAGACAGATTCAGGTACTATATCTAAGCAAAGTAAATTTGCATTGGAGTTAGATACGAAATTTCCAAAATGTACTGATTATCTCAACAGTGAAGAAAAAGAAGCATTCTAACGTATGTATTTGCATTTAAGAATGTCTGAATAACGATTCTACATTAAAATCATAACGTAATTATTAGCAGTTTTCTTTATTTTCGACGAAAATGTCTTGCTGACCTGAAACTTCATGTGAGCGGATAGCAGGTTTCGTACTAGTAACTGTGTTAAAACCTGTTATTTGTATTTAAATGTTATAGAATAATGGTCATGTGTTAAGCTCCTGAATATAAACTTATGATGATCGTGAAAATGTTCGTTTTTCTGGTTTCCAAAAACACCCACCCACTCGAAATCGATGGATAAAGTTGGTACGGTTAGTAAATCTTATATTGTTATTTGTAAACCGTATGTTATACTTGAAAATGATTTATAGGAGAACTCTTTAGATCCTGGTCCTGGAGCCTTTGTATGCAGTTGTCATTTTCTTGATGGGAATAATTAAAAAGGTCCTAACAGGTCTTGGCCTTATAGTTACAGTACCTTGTCGCAAAATAGTATCGGAGTCCCGAAAAATTAGCAGAACGAAAATATCTGCCGGAGCAGAAACACCAAGCGACCATTTGAGAACAACAACAAATAATATTACAGACCTGAATCTAAGCCACAACCTTCGACTTCGACTGAAGGTATTCTTGAAACCTTTATATCTACAGCACGGATTGATGCTGAAAATGATTTTCTCTAACAACTGCCGGAAGTGTCAATGGGACTTTGTTAAAACTTTATCTGAACGTTTTTCAATTGAAAGTATAAAAGGAAATGGTGTCTTAGTATTTATGTATTTTTCTACTTATGCAATATTCAAATGTTTTATCAGACTGATAAGATGAAGGCTTTCACGGCCGGTTAAATCACATTTAGGAATGTTTTCCGGGCTTTGAAGCCGTGGTCTATGGGAATTTCTTCCTGACGTTTCGTCCACAACTGC